TATATATATAAGGAAAAAATTTTATAACTTAAATAAATTATTATAATATAAATTTACAAGCAGATCAATTTGTCAGTTAATTAAAAGAAAAGTTTTTGTTTTGACAATATAAAAACACAATATATAGGCTACACACATGTTTTATTTGTAAAAATATAAAAATGTAAATTATTAAATCTATAACATACGTTTTTCTGTCGACATATAAGATAACAGTAATTCAAAAAAACAATTCAAAGCAAGTCGTTAACTGACAATGCAATCAAATAATCCCGTAATAAATAAATGACAAAACCTTGTTATAAAGTAGTCGGAGAATAATCAGTGTTATATTGATATTAATAACAGATATTTTCGGTGATAGCAAATGAAATCTTCATCCATAGCAAAAAGGGCTTGACAAGCATCTACCACAAAGGCCATCGTAACAACGCGATACACTAAGATCTCGAAGAAAACCTATTAAAAGCAATTAGAGGCGTCTGCTATATCACGTTCACGAGATGTCACTGACAATTTATAAAATTTTGATTTTATCGCGTTTATATAATTATTTTAATAAATCAACGCGTGTTCTATGTAAAATAACATAGAAATATTTACCGAAAATATTGAATATTAATGACAACGGCTCCAAACGTCGTAACTGGCGATATATGCCAAAAATCATACAATCCTTACTGTACTTTCACGACCGTGGCCATCTTGATGTTGAGAATAGTCAGATGAATAACGCATACAATCAGCTGTTCCACGTCAAAAGATCCCTAGTAAAATTTTCTCTAATTCAATATAAAATAAAATAGAAGTTACAATATGTTTGATTTTGTTAAAACATTTATTTTATAAAAAATAGAAAATTGAATTAAAAAATTCATTTAAACTTTATTAGACTTTTTTTAATATTATTATTAATAAAATAAATACATAGATAATATGTTAATTTCATTAATATAAAATTATCTCGTTAATTAATAATAGTTATAATAAAAAAAATAATAAAGAAAAAATATAATAATCTTAGACAAAATATATTTAATAATTTGATAACAAATCTTTTCTTATCATTTTAAAGTAAATGTTCATGCTTGATAGAAATCCATATTTACTTATAAGAATTACATTTAAAATTACAGAATTTACTTATAAAAATATAAATATTATATTTATATAATTTTAAAATATATAGTATGATAGCCTTACTTTAATGTATGACTTGAAATAAATGTGACTAATATCTCGTGAACCTAACTTCATGTGAACATGCATTGTATGCTTATGTGAAAATACATATATATAACCTAAAATTTGAAACCTATTCTATGTAGTAATCATATTTAAAAAATAAAAAATTTTATAGTGCAATTATATTTAGAAAGAAAACTATATAATTTTTTACAATTTTAAGATCGATCATTATTGTAAATAATCGTTAAAAAATATTAGGTAAGATATATTTTAGATTTATTGATGTAAATATGTTTTATTTTAAGCTACATATAATATAAAATGTGGTAAAAAAAACTATTAATAAAAGAATATTTATTATTTTATTGATATCAATTCAATAATCTTCTTGTAGTGTATGATTTACATAACTTTATATTACGCGAAGTTAAACTACAATTTTTAATATTGTGAATAAGAAATATTAATTATTGCTACAATGAAATGTCATTATGAAGTATTAGGGGTACCACGAAATGCTTCTGATGATGACTTAAAAAAAGCTTATAGAAAATTAGCTTTGAAATGGCATCCAGATAAAAATTTAAATAATCCAGAAGAAGCAAAAGAACAATTTCAACTTGTTCAACAAGCTTGGGAAGTGTTAAGTGATCCTCATGAACGTACTTGGTATGATAATCATCGTGATGCTATTTTAAAAGGTGGTATTGGTGAAAATTATAAAGATGATTCTATTGATCTTTTTCAATATTTCTCAACTACTTGCTTCAAAGGATATGGAGATGATGAAAAAGGATTTTATACTATTTATCGTAATGTGTTTGAAAAATTAGCAGCTGAAGACTTAGAATATACAAAAGAAGGGGATTCGGATGAAGAAGTTCCAGGATTTGGAGATTCCCAAAGTTCATATAAAGAAGTTGTTCATAACTTTTATGCTTATTGGCAAAGTTATAATACCAAAAAATCATTTGCTTGGTTAGATCCTTATGATATAAGAAATGCTCCTAATAGAAGAGTGGTACGTCTTATTGAAAAAGAAAATAAAAAAGTTCGAGATAAAGCTAAAAAAGAAAGAAATGAACAAGTAAGAAATTTAGTTGCTTTTATACGTAAACGCGATAAACGAGTACAAATTCATACAACTAAATTAATTGAACGTGCAAAAGAGAATTTAAGGAAGGTTGAAGAACGAAAAAAACAACAATTATTAGAAAGACAAAAACAATTAAAAGAGCATAAAGTGTCAGAATGGTCAAAATTTTCAAATATAGAAGCTGAACTTAAAAATATTGAAGCTAATCTTGCTCAAGAATTTGGTGAAAATTTATCTTCTGATGGAGATATGGATGATGAGAATACAATAGATGATAATTCTATGTATTGTATAGCTTGCAATAAAATATTTAAAACACATAAAGCATTTACAAACCATGAAAACTCTAAAAAACATAAAGATAATATTGCAATAATAAAAGTATCTATGATACAAGAAGATATAAATTCTCAAGAAAGTGATATAAACTCTGATTTAATTTTAGAATGTGAAAAAAAATTATCAACAAATTCACAAATGCCTGACTTTTTACTAAATCCTATTCAAAATAATACAAACAAAAATAATACTGCAGAACAAACTTCAGAAGAGGAACTAATCTCAGATGATGAAGAATTTGAAAATTTTAAAATACCAGAAAATATAAAATATTATTCAGAAAAATTTAAACTTGCTACAGATCCTCAAATGAATGATTTTCTTTATGTAGCATCAAACAAAAATGATAATGAATATTTAACTTCTGAAGATGAGATTATCTCTGATCAAGAAAATGAAGAAATACCCAAAAAACAAAAAAAAAAAAAAGAAAATGAATATTTAACTTCTGAAGATGAGATTATCTCTGATCAAGAAAATGAAGAAATACCCAAAAAACA